AAAAGTATTTGTGTAGCAGAAGTGCTCACCTGTATCGTAGCACACGGCAGAGGATTTTTATACCGATTTTTATGGATTATTTTTGGCGAGTTGGATCTGGTCCAAAAGGAGAAAAGAAAAAAAAAAAAAGTTTATGGTTGAGGGGAGAATGGTTTGGAGAGGAAGAGGAGGAGGAGGATGGAGAGGTGGGACCTGGAATTGCAGCCCTGCCAGGAGGATCCATCCCTGGGGGATCCATCCCATGGATCCTGATCTATCCCATCCCATGGGATCCATCCCATCCCATTCCGTGGATCCCATCCTTGGGGGATCCATCCCATCCCATGGATCCCATCCTATCCCATTCCATGAGATCCATCCCAATTTATGGATCCCATCCCATGGATCCCATCCCATCCCATGGGATCCATCCCAATTTATGGATCCCATCCCATGGATCCCATCCCATCCCATGGGATCCATCCCTGGGGGATCCATTCCATGGATCCTATTAATCCCAACCCATGGATTCCATCCCATCCCTGAAGGATCCATCCCATGGATCCCATCCTATCCCATCCCATTCCATGGATCCCATCCTATCCCATTCCATGGGATCCATCCCAATTTATGGATCCCATCCCATGGATCCCAACCCATGGATCCCGATCTATCCCATGAATCCCATCCCATTCCATGGGATCCATCCCAATTTATGGATCCCATCCCATGGATCCCAACCCATCCCATCCCTGAAGGATCCATCCCATGAATCCCATCCCATCCCATGGGATCCATCCCAATTTATGGATCCCATTCCATGGATCCCATCCTATCCCATTCCATGGGATCCATCCCAATTTATGGATCCCATCCCATGGATCCCATCCCATCCCATGGGATCCATCCCTGGGAGATCCATCCCATGGATCCCATCCCATGGATCCCATCCCATGGATCCCATCCCATGGATCCCATCCCATCCCTGAGGGTTCCATTCCATGGATCCCATCCCATCCCTCCAGGGCAGACAGAGGAGCAGGGAAGGAGGAGAGATGTGGCAATTCCTGGTGTTCCCATGGCAGTGAGGGTTGTTCTGAGGGAATGTTCCAGGCGCTGGGGTGGCTCCAGGGGAGGATGGGATCAGTTCGGGATGATCCAAGGAAGGAAAAATTCTCTAAAGCTGCTTTTAGGGAAAGGCTCCCGTTGGTGACTCTGCCCCTGGGGGGGTCCTGGGCTGTCCCAGGGATGTTTTGGGGTCGCATTTTGGGATTTGTGGGGGCAGCTCTGCCCCTTCCTGCCCCCTGGGCACGGCATTCCCAGTTCCCTGGCTGTGCTGGGAAAGGGTTGGGGGTCCCTGTCCTGTCCCCGGGGTCACCCCCAGGCTCCCAGCTCGGCTGCTTGGCTTTTCCTCCCCCGAAATTCCAGGACTGAAAAATGCAGGAATTGCGTGTTCAGGAGCCTCCCCAGAGCCAGGCTCTCAACTTCACACCAAAGTATGTAGCAGAAATCTGTACAGCTGTTAATAACTACCACTGGTTTTTTGTAAAAAAGGGCCAAAAAGAGAAAAAAAAAAAAAAAAAAAGAATAAAAAGTCAATGTACTGAAGCTCAACTGCAAGCAAAGTTTCTCTGAACCCCGTGACCCATGGAATTCATGGAGGAGGGGGGGAAAGGCAGGAACGGGGGGGGTTGGGGGGCACAGGACCCCCCTGGCAGGGACCCCTGAGCTGGGATGGAGCCCAGGATTGATGGGAGAGGTTCCAGCCCCCGAACCCTAAATCCCAAACCCCATCCATCCCTTTCCCAGCCCCCAGGCTGCTCTGCTCCTGCTCCTGACAGGATTTTGGGGTGCAGGGCTCAGGGATCCTGCTGGGATCAGGATTTTTTGGGATGCTGAGCTCAGGGATCCTGCTGGGATCAGGATTTTGGGGATCTGGGCTCAGGGATCCGGATTTTGGAGTTTTGGGCTCAGGAATCCTGCTGGGATCAGGATTTTGGGGTTCTGGGCACAGGGATCCTGCTGGGATCAAGATTTTGGGGTTCTGGGCTCAGGAATCCTGCTGGGATCACGATTTTGGGGTTCTGGGCTCAGGAATCCTGCTGGGATCAGGATTTTGGGGTTCTGGGCTCAGGGATCCTGCTGGGATCAGGCGGTTCCCGGTGTGAGCAGCAGAATTCCCAGCGGAATTCCCGAGCTCCCCGATGGACACAAAGCCCTTCCATGACCTGGGGCAGCTGCGGGGGCTCCAGTGATGGATGTGACCTGACAGGACCTGCAGCAGGGGGGGGCTGAAAGGCAGGAGCGGCCCTGGAATGGGAATTTCCATGGGATTGGAGCCTGGGGATGACACGGGGGACCATTGAAAGGTCGGGATTGTGAGGAATCCTTTGTTGGGAGATGGGGAGAGCCCGGGAAGGGACCCCCAGGCTCCAGCCGCCATTCCAACCTCTCCTGCTTTTCCTCTGCCTTTTCCAAGCGCTGGGCTCTCCCATTCCCATTTGTGCTGTCAGCCAGCTCCCAGATTTTATAATCCAATTATTCCCGCCCCCCCCACCCACTCTGGAATTTTAAATGATCGGTTCGTGAGTGTTTTTTAAAGGCTGCCAGGCTGGAAAAGCGAGTGGGAATGGATTCCCTCGGGATGCTGAGGGTGTGAAGGTGGCAGCCTGGCACGCGGCCGTTTTGGGTGGCATTGCCCACTTTCCACCCGGGATTTCCTTCTGTGGGCATGGAAAGGCAGGGATTTGGTCCTGGAGGATCCAAATCGCTTTTCCCAGGCTGGGAAATGCGTCCCTGAATTCGGGGCAGCGCTGGGAAAGGGGCGGGGGCAGCAGAGCCGTGCTGGGCCACGGCCATGGAATGTTGTGTGCCATGGTCTGTGACCTGTGGCATGGTCTGTGTCCCCATGGAATGTCGTGTGTCCCATGGAATGTCGTGTGTCCCATGGAAAGTTCTGTGTCCCATGGAAAGTTCTGTGTCCCACAGAATATTCTGTGTCCCATGGTATTCCATGTTCTGTGTCCCCATCCCGTGTCCCGTGTCCCCATCCCGTGTCCCGTGTCCTGTGTCCCCATCCCATGTTTTGTGTCCGTGTCCCGTGTCCCGTCCCATGTCCCGTGTCCCCATCCCATGTCCCCATCCCGTGTCCCCATCCCATGTCCCGTGTCCCATCCCGTGTCCCGTGTCCCCATCCCGTGTCCCGTGTCCCATCCCATCTTTTGTGTCCCATCCCGTGTCCCGTGTCCCATGTCCCCATCCCGTGTCCCATGTCCCCATCCCGTGTCCCGTGTCCCCATCCCGTGTCCCGTGTCCCCATCCCGTGTCCCGTGTCCCCATCCCGTGTCCCCATCCAGCCGTTCCGCAGCCACATCCCCACAATCTGCCCACCAGATACCGGGATCCCCTTTCCCTTCCATCCCATTATCCCATCCCAGTTTTCCCAGTTTCCCGTGCTGGGCACAG